TAAAACGACGTTTCGGAGATGTGACTCTATCTCCGTCTTCAGGTTCCTACACAGTTGGGCCCACTAGATAGAGCTAATCCCTACCTCCGGACTTTTTCCTTGGATATTATCCATCGTCTAGTAAATATAAAACGTAAAACGACGTTTCGGAGATGGGTGAATAAAAATTTCCTTGGATATTATCCATCGTCTAGTAAATATAAAACGTAAAACGACGTTTAGGAGATGGGATTAGCTCTATCTAGTGGGCCCAACTGTGTAGGAACCTGAAGACGGAGATAGAGTCCCATCTCCGAAACGTCGTTTTACGTTTTATATTTACTAGACGATGGATAATATCCAAGTAAATTTTTATTCAATTGATGAGAATATTTTCTGCATTGAATGACGATGCTCCTTTCTTAGGGACTCACCTGCTTGTAACTGATATCGATGAACAGAGCTTTGAACGTATTGTGACAATGTTCGTGCTTCAGTATATATATGAAGCTATCCCGTTATTCTTTTCAGGAATCACCTGTGTTTGTGTTCGGGTGTAATATATATGTTGGGCTTATGATTTTTCAGCTGTGAATAGGTTCCTGTTGTTTTTGTACAACAGATAGCAATATGCTGTTGTTTATCGAAATGCCCCGCGGAAGAAATGAGCTATAAAGAACAGAAGATTGACATATTTAGTAGTAAGTCACCTATTATCGATATTTCTTTACAGCGAATGGTCTCTTAATTTATCAGTTCCTTTCTATAGACCTATATTACACTAGAAATTTATTTTGCCTTTTGTTATAAGTTTCGTACGGGTTATTCAACATATCTAAAATATTTTAGGTCCATCTTGTGGCTAAGTCGATTTTATTTTGTGCTAATTTCAATTAGAGTTTTATATTTTAAGAATATAACCCTGATACAAACTGTGATCTTTGTGTGAAGTTTTAATTTATTTAAAACTCCTGCTTGGTGCTAGGCCTATTCAGTGTTCTTTCCTCAAGGAACTCATACGACGTTTCTGCCTGGTTGTTCGTTCTAACAAACCATAAGCGACGTTGATTTTGAACTCTTCGAGGATTTAATTCAACTCCGATTATATCGTTCCAGTATATTCATTTTAAACAATCTGTTTTTTTTTTTTAAATCGTAACATAATTTACTGAATTTATGAAGTTACGTTTGGAATACAGTTTTCTCGTCCAATACAGCAATATGGATTCCATTGGATATATAATGAATAATTAACACCGATGTTTTTCGAATGAAATTTTTTTAATAATTTAAGACATGTTATTCGTTTTCCTATTTTCAAAAATTATCCTAATCCGTAAGGAATGAACACAGCCAGGGAGTTTTCAAATAAGTTTCAAATTTTTTAAGTAGTTCGTAAACTAGTTATCGAAACTTAATAAATTCGGTGTGTGTCAGTTGTTTATATGCTGCACGTATAAACCGACGCACCTCTGTTTGTTGCTTTTTCCTCCCAACACGCATTTTGCGTCAATAAGCGCATTCTTTACTCAGATCCTACGTCAAATGAAGCATGTGTCTGCCGGAAACACACCTTATTTTTTATTATTGTCTTTACTGAGACAGAGGAAACCAAGGTGACACACGAATGTGTTTATCACACAGCCGAACTTTGCCTATTTAATTACGTATTGTCACATTGCCTGAAACATTGGAAAACCTCCTGATCTACGAACATAATATTTCAAGGTAACTCGCAAGTGTTTTCTTATTACCTTCTGACCTTATTATGCATCGAATAAATGTATTACTTATAAAACACTAATTACTTGCAATTTAAAAATAGCCTTCAAATCTAAAACTTCTTGACGATGGTGAAGAGTCAATTGAATAAAAATTTCCTTGGATATTATCCATCGTCTAGTAAATATAAAACGTAAAAACGACGTTTCGGAGATGGGACTCTATCTCCGTCTTCAGGTTCCTACACAGTTGGGCCCACTAGATAGAGCTAATCCCTATCTCCGGACTTTTTCCTTGGATATTATCCATCGTCTAGTAAATATAAAACGTAAAAAACGACGTTTCGGAGATGGGA